AAGCCGGAAGTAATCAAATTTTATAAATGATATAACTTATAAATTTTCAAATTTGCATTTACAGCGTTAGAACCAAATTTTATTTTTCTTCACTTGACTTAGTTCTATAATCGTTAGTTAGCCACTACTTACACGAATGCCATCACAAGATCTTACAAGGTTGACCGCAACAATAATTCCAATTCCACACGAGAATACCCTTAGTGATGATGATTATTAGGCTGTTACTTTTAACGTTGGAACCCAAGTCAACAATCCTTTATTTTTTCTTCCTGTTTGATTTACTTTTGACACGAATCTACAGTGGCCTGATTTGCTTGAGGTTCTCTCATATAGATTAGTTATCAAATTAAATCTTACGTTTGCTTAAAATGCACGATTCTAACAAGCAGCTTAATCACCAAATTAAGTTTTATATATCCTTTAAAGACGCAACTGAACTAGAGTTGCGAAATGATTGTCTTTATGAAAATTGGTCAGGCTAGTGTAATTTTTGACCATCCACCGACAGTCAATGACAAAAAGTATAGTTTTCTGTTGCAAAATAATGGTAATTCTTATTTTTGTCAGGTAAGGCTGACCGATGGTTGGTAGACCATCAGTTCATAACTATACGGATGCGAAAGGTATTTTTATCTTAGAGTTATGATATTTAATAGAAGAATTATTTATAATTTAAAAGTTACGTATTTGTTTTTAAACTTTTGTTGCTTGCACAGTAAAAACATCAGAACCTTAAACATTGACAATAAAAATTAATGTATGTTACGTTTATTTGTATGTGTTTCAGGAACTAATTATTACACACATTGATACATCATAAGTTTCACACTTTTTGCACCTTATCAACTAAAAAACTTTACAACTTCAGTCGGGATTCTCATAACACTTGTCTGAATTTTAGACTAGTGTTGTTAGAGTCACGGCTAAAGTAGTATTATTTATTTTTTTCTTGCAACATAAAGAAGACTTTTACTGGCTTACAATAGGCTCCGTGCACAAAAACACCAGCGCCAACTTGTGGCTGAATGGTGAGTCGGTGTGGTTACGAGAACACATGGAGTAGCATGGTTGCCTAAAGTTAATAATTTTTTTCATTAATATCAAGATCATTTCTAATAGCTTGATAATCTTAATTAGAATCCCTAACTTCTTAACTTAACGATGATATTTTTTTCAGCATGAGATTTTCCTTGAATAAAATATAAAAGAGACACATGTTCCTTTGTTACTCGTACATGTGAGGTATGTTGCATATGTTAGTACTACTAAGTATGCTCTATATCTTTCATAAACTTTACTGCCACATGCAATGTTTCACACATGTACGAGCAACAAAGAAACATATGTCTCTCTTACAACTTATCAAAGCAAAATCTCATGCTGAAAAAAATATCGTCGTAAAGTTAAGGAGTTAAGGATTCTATTTGAGATTAGGAAGGATGTTGATATTAATGAAAAAAATTATTAACTTTCTCGTAACCACGTGGACTCACCATTCAGCCACAAGTTGGCACTGAGGGTTCTTGTGCACGGATCCTTCAGCATTTTTTTGTTACCCAGATCAATTAGAAGACCACGTATAAAACTGTGTATTTAAAACTAAATTTTCTTTCAATGCAACATTTAATTATTTATCATCTATTTTTAAGTTTTCAATCCTAGTCGTTTTTAATTACAGTTGTGCATCTTGGTTTAATTATTCCCTGTATTGGATTTATCTAACTTCGGTAACAGGTGGTCGATCAGAAAAATTCTCTCTCGTCCGTGGACGGCCAGCAGGATGGTCTAAACACCATCTTCTGATAATCAGCCTGATGACCTCGCAACACTGAACTAAATTCACTCTCCAACCTTAATAGTTACTTTAGATTACCTGATGGAAGAGAACAGGTAAATATTTTAGGTAGATTTTACATCAGGTATCGAAATTGTGTACAAAATTTGTATACGCAGTAATGAATGCTAAAATTGTTGATTGTTCACATTCTTGGTTACTAGTGCAAATTGATGTTTTTTTAATTACTTTTTTTTATATTTTATAGCAGTTTTTAAGAAATATACCTACTAGGCTCTGCAATGCTATGTTACTATGCATATATTTGCTATCGTCATCGGCATAGTAAGAAATCGCCTTAGATTATAATTGTGACATCAATAACTTACACAGCTAAAGAGGATCTTATTTCACATGTCTTCCAAACCATCGCACTACAATTGGAGTATCCTCATGAGAAAGTAGATCCTCCGAGATGCGAGCCAAGTAAGTAAGGGCTGAGTCTTGAATTCGTGAGCATACATTACCAAGCCCCCGAGCTACAAGAACCACAGCCCAAACCACCGCCTTACCGTAGCCGTTTTAAAAAAATTGATCTTATAAGATGAGCGCTTTTGAAGATTGTTTGGAGGTTGCACGTGTAGTTAAAGTTTTGCGACAGTACCTCTCTTCAGAAGAAGTAAGTTACAAGTCACTCGATTGCAGAAGCTGATATGAAAGTTGCTGAGTATTGACTTTTTATAATTTTAGAATGGAGCTAGGTGTTCTGAAGTAATATATATTGGGTATATGACTTCGTCATATACGAAGTTGTCACATGCGCCCTTATAGCTGATAGTCAATTATTAGGCAGAAAACGGTTGAACCAACGTCAACTGAAAAACATTTTGTTTTGTTTAATAATAAAAAGAATAAAATTAATTAAGAAATAGGACATTAAAAATTATGTTTTTACATGAAATAGTACAATTAACAAGGTTATGCTGTTTTATTTCTTGAGTTTTTGCTGTTGTTAATCTTTCGTGCTGAAATTTTTTTTTTCCTTTTTTTAGAGGATTTTGCTACCGTAATAAGGGTAAAATAATATACAAGTTTAATAATAGTAATAATTTTTGCTGATTTAGATAAGGTTGGACTGCGATGTTCACGCTTTACTGTATCGTGATCGATGTAGTAAGGTAACTCTAACAGTAGTTGTAAATACTTAACATTCCACGAGATATTCCAATGGCGTTGATGTTTTAATGCGAGATTACCGCGGAATCCATCACGCTTTATTAAACTGAAGTGAGAGGAGGTACTGGAGTATTGTTATCATGTTTTTATTATATCGTAGTCATTGCTGCACAAATTGTGATTCAATACCAAAAGAGTCTATTCCGTTTCAAAGGTCCAAAAAAATGCTTTTTTTTAAACTAATATACACTGGTGTCATTACATATTAGAGATCTTTGTCACAATTGTATACTCTTAAGAGACAGATTAAAAGAAAACGAAAAATACTTTTTTTTTCGTTGTTTTGGAAAAAGTTATCTCGTAATATAAAATCAAGTTAATTGTAACAATTATAAATTAATTGATATAATTTAATTTCGCACCAAATTATTTAATAAATAGGTCAATAGATATCAAAATTGGAAGTTAGTTACCAACTGTACTATAACATTAAGAAAGAAGTTAGTTTATAATAGAGGTCGATTATAGCTGAGTGAATATGGTATTCGGCTAGTCTGCAGAAGCTTGCTGGTTCAATTTTTCAGGAAATAGTTTCTTGTTTTTTTAAAGGATAAGGTGTGGAATAAAGAATAGGTATTGGAAAGTTTTCTTGTTTTGCATATGCGCTTTGGTGGTGTTGTGTAGCGTATTAGGGCCCGTGGGATACAATGAAAAATTTACTTCCGTTACACATTGTCTTAAGGTCACTAATCTAAATTCGTCGGTTTTAGAAATTCAAAATTCTAATTCAACGTATTTCTCTCTTATATACATTAAATGGTCGGACTTTTCTTCTATGATTGAGTAGCAGTAGGTTTGTGCGCGGGCACGCAGGGGGTGGAGCCTTACTAATATATACATATGACCTTTAGAACGATTTGAGGTAAATAAGACATGTGTTAGTATTTTTTGTGATTGATTAGTTATAAATTGTTATGAACAGATGCAACTCTGTTTTTTTAGGCAGAGGACATGGACGTTTTGTCTTGGTCTATTCTAGTGCTACTGTCGACGATTTCTTCGGCTCTTATCATTTTATTTTAACGTAAAGTTTTTCAAACATATATTTTAATTTATCTTACAGAACACGAAATTCATAAAAATTATGCTCATAAATTAGAATTATTTAAAAGAAAAGTAGTTGACGTTTCTAGATTATCAAAAATGATCAAAATATTTCGATCACAGAAATAATAATAATTTATTATTTAGCATTTCTTGTTAATGTCACTTGATTAGAAAATTTGATAGTTACTTTTACTTTCCTCATGTTGCTTGATTGAAAAAAAAATCTTTATTTTACTTGATGTAATAAGGGATCAGCGACATGCTTAGGAGAAGTTGAAAGGGAGAAAAATTAAGTATCTAGTGGTTGTATCGGTTCACAAAATGATGTGAAGAGAAAAGTTTTATTATTACTACAAGAAAAGATGGTACTTAAAATAGCATAGTTTTACTTTAGTTTAAAGGCTCAGAGATATGTGTCTTGGCATGAGGGCAATCAAGAAGGGTCAATTTCCTTTGTTCTACACGAATAACTACTATTATAATAAAATCTTGGAGTGAATGGTTATTATTGTATATACTACCTGAATAAAGGTATACTATTATGTTCTTTGTATCTTAATTCTGCTTGAGTGAATTCACACTTGATATAATTATTGTCGAGCTCATTTTTTGAAAATTTTGTGTATGCTCTTCCTTTTTCTATTGATGAAATTATTTTTTAATTATTCAAGACTAATTTAGTATGTTAGTATATTTCTTTAAAGTATAAAATCATGCCTGATATGACAAGCTAACACTTGACCAACAAAATGTATTTTTATTTACCAAGCGAATTTTTTTAACTATAAACATTAATATAGAACTGGTGAAATAAAACCAGTTACTTATGTACATGTGGAACTTACACTAAATCTTTTTTTTCTGTATAAATATAACAGAATCTCTGTGTTGAACATATGTTTTTTGTCACATTAGGGTTACTTAAAAACCTTTATTTTAGTTTACCCAGCACTTGATGTATCGGATGAAGATGATTACATATCTCAATTCAGAGGAAAAAAAAAAAATGATGAAGCATGGAATCCTAAAGCCCAGCTGGGTTCACTGTTTCCTAAAATAAATCGGCCAACACGAATCACCGCAAAAAAAACTACTGTTGACAAGTGTTTAAAAGCAGCTGCAAAAAAACTCACCAAAAATTATGTAAGTCTTTAGTAAAACGATTTGATGTGTTATAATTTTAATATGTTCGTTTTTTCATACTGTGAATAATTCTTTTGTCTTGCTCTTAAGGAGGCTCAACACACCTATCGAAGTAATTGTGAAATAGATGAAATTTAAATCTACAGTCAATTAGTATGTTTTTCACCTCTATGAAAAATTTCAGCATAGGTTGCTCCAGAAAATTTTTAGTAAAACGTGTTACAAGTGAGCGTCTTACATATAGCCTCTTATGGAGACGGTACTTTTTTTACCGGAAATCTCATCATAATTCTCTCAAATCACTTTCTCCATGAACAAAAAACTAGAGACACGTAGTTTAACTATCACTCTTTCAATTAATTATAAGAAATATATAGGTTGCTGCGGATTTTATTGAGATATTTCTTTCTGAAGTACACTAATAGACACGATTAGAAAAATGTTGGTTAGAATGTCGTCCGCAAAAATATACATGACTATGGTCATAACTATACCTACATATGTTGTTGACTACATATGGTGTGTTGAGCCTCCTTAATTTCATGATTTTTTCAAACCTGTAGGATACTTTGAGATCTAGCAAGTTAGTGTCACTTTCGAAACTTGTGCAAGGTGGCACTTTTCTTGTTTAATCACTGATAAGAGTTATGATACTCACTGAAAAGTACTTAGATACCAATAGAATTTGGTGTTTATTTATTTCCAAATTTTATAAGGGCTATTGTTACAGACTTTTTAAAAAAATTAAGAAACAGGTAAGTCTTATGTATTTCTTGCCTTTACTATCATGAATGTAGGTTTTAAATTTGTTCTGAAATTTGGACAAACATCTTTAAAAAAAAAAGAAATACAAAAATTTACCATTTGTTTTAGTAAAACTTTCTTAGGTTCTTTCTTACTTCAATCCAATTTATGATGCGATTGTAATATTTTCTTAGCACTGCACTGTTTCAGGAATATAATGTAGTATAATTTTATCAAGTTAAATTTCAGTTAAGTTTGTTGTAAAATCATTAAAGCTTCAGTGTAACATTTTACACGTTAGTTTTTGAATGACTTTTTTAACTGCAATTCAGTGTATTAACTCCATTAATTAGTAAATGTTGATCGCAGTAAGGCATTGTTAAACTTTTTTAAAATTTTTTTATTCAGTAAGCATCGTAAATTTTAAGATCAATTAATCTATACGCATATACACTTATACGTAATCAATAAAAATCACTTTCGGTACGTTTGTCACTCGCTGCTATACGGCCGAAAAATTCTTGCAGAACTAGCCACATGTTAAATAATTTAACTCACTTAACTATCTTTTTTTCGAATACTGAGTCTGAAAATAATTATTATGTTTATAATAAATAAGATAAAAATTATTGAAGAAAAAAAAGAAGTGCATAAATATAACAGTTCTTCACGTTTATCCGTAATGTTTCTTTATCTTAGGTCTGGTCCTTTTTTTCTTTTATCGTGTGTTAGGCCATAATTCCTTTTTTTTTATTTTTGTACAATTTTGTAAATTCCTTAATACAATTTAATCCCTGGTGTCATCCTGAGCTAAAGCTCTGTTACAAGCACTAATGATGGTTGACACTGTAACTTTGTATAAAACGCTCTCCACTGGGACACTCTTGCACTTAAGGGATCTTATTACAGGTATTAATGACATGAGAAAGTCTACAAGATGTGCAGACCTGTGGTAAATACTGTTGCGCATAATCGATTATTCACTGAATTAGTATTTGTGAAGTTGGGCTCATTGTCTCTAGAGGTAAAGTCGCAGAGAACGTTGACCTTTTCTAGGAAGTTTTTTACAAGTATTTGTTTTTACTAAATTTAATGTTTTCCTTTATTCGTATGAGTTTCGTATTTGTATCTACAGTGGGTTTCTGGTTAGCTTACAAATCCAATGCGCTGGATTCCATTTCTTTTTTTACATTAACTTTTATGTTAGCATTTGTGTTAAGGTTAAGTTAGTAACTACACAATTGCACTGTGTATACTACAACTTTAATTATAAATTTTAAACATTAAATTTAAATACCATTAGCCATTCAGACTCCTTTTAAATCCTTAGCACTAATAAATTGTTGCTTGTGAATTAACATCTATTTCTCTCTTATTTTCTCTCTCTTTCTCTCTCTCTCTCTCTCTCTGTCTCTCTCTCTTTTAGTCTGTTTGTGTCTCTGACTTCAGCTTTTTGAAGGAATATATACTGTTTCATTGCACAATCAATCTCATCTAAATTCCTTTCTCTTTAAAGTGGTAGAGGGAGAATTAAGTGACATTGCTATATTTTTCTCTAGCTCTTGGAGGTGAAAATAAAAATCTTTACTTGTTGTGTGAGCTACCTTTTTCGCTCATTCTACTCCCCTCTTTAAACAGTTTGACATCAAGCATTCTTTTTTGCAGCTGTACACAAGGTCACATGTACCTATACAGGAGATAACACTACTAGCTCAAACAGGAGTGCATACATTTACAATGGACGTTATGCTGTTTAAGTTAAGCTGTAATTGGAAACCCTCACTACTGAATTCATATGCATGACATATTGAGCAATAAATAAAAGCTTTTGTTAAAGTATTAAAAGTAAGTAGTATATTTCTTCACAAAAGTTATATACTAGAAAGGACATATAATTTTGACTTGTTTAGCCATGAAGTACGACTGGTAAAAAAAATGCAATAAAATTGAACTCCATGCTTTGTAGAAAAAAAAGTCTTCTGTGGCAGTTACTATAAATTATAGAAATCTAGAACTGACCAACTAATAATAAGCTAGAGCGGAGAATTTCAAATTTTTCAATGCCAATAAATATCATAAATATAAGAAGGAATTCAAAAGTGTTGTTCAGTTTAAATCTGTGTGTAAGTTATGGCAAGCAGAGCCTTTACGTGTTTTAGAATGTGTCGTAGAATTTTCCGTGTACTTTGAAAAAATCCAATAAAATATGAATTGTTACTGCTGTCCTCTCCTCAAAAATATGTTACATTTATACTTTTATACTTTTATTCTTCTTGTTGTAATTTTGCATCAACAATTTTTTAGCATAACAGTGCTCCACATAGTACAAACGGTCTAAAAAATCAACGCTTTCTGACGGTAAATTTATCAATAAATATAGCTATTTCAATAAAACCATAGTACAAGATCAAGACATTGCCAGAAAAGTACCGTGAAATCATAACTGTGAAAATTGAGAGATGTTGCGAGGTAAGCCAGGTGAATGTTTCATACTTTTTTTTCTGATTTTCTCGTAAGTTAAGTTGCTGATATTATATTTTTACGAATTCAATAGACTCTTTGTTAAAAAATATACAAGAACTTTTCAAAATTTTTGAGGTTAATCAAAGATTTTCGAAGATATAGTCGATTTTGTGACCACTGTCCGTAACAGTAGGTGTTGAATTGGTGAATTTTTAGTATCAATTTGCGAAATAATTAAGTCATTGGCCCCAGTACTTTCTTATCGCGAATGAATTCGGCATACTTTATTTACATAATTAAAGAATTTCAGAGGTTTTGATCGAGCCGATAAAAATCGCCCAAGCTACTTTAACGTTTGACTCATTATAGCTGTAAGTATATTAATAGTATTGACTTAAAGAGGCTCCATCGCCTACTGATGTAGTCAATTCAGTAATGATGCAATGTCACTAGACGATATATTTTGTTGTGTGCGCTAACGTAACTGCAGACCAAAATAGTATTGTAGTTATTTTATCAATTTTTTCATCGCTAACTCCTTTTAAGTCATAAAGATCTTCTAGATTATTATGACTTAAACATCTTAAAGATGATAATATCAGCTTCATGGTACGTGTATTATTTTTGCGTGTACAGTTCATTTTAATAATTTAATTGATCGTCAAAAGTTTGCTTCAGCGAAAAGCTGCGAGCTCGAACAGTGCTAACTTTGAATTGATTTATTTCGGAATTTTGATTGCAAATCTACATAAATAAGGAGACCATTTGATTTAGCACGTTCTAAACTTAAAAAATATATTTTTCAAAGTTCTTATACATTCTGTGATGGAGCCTCCTTAAAGACATAATATTTTATAACGTTATGGAAGATAGTTTTCCTGCTTACATCAAAAAGGTGACATTAAATGTTCGAGTTCTATATGTTAGTACAAATACTTCCGATACTTCTTACAAGAAAAATATGTACTAGTGTGGGGATCCGACCCTACTGCGCAACCGTCGGTAAAAGAGTAGGCTCTTTAGCTTTCCTCCGCTTCTCTTTCCCCCGCGTCTCTGCTCGTCACGCGAGGAGAGAAGTCTCGACCGTCATTGCAAGCACACATTTTGTAGCTTCCTTGAGAAGCCCTTTCTTACTAGTGAATATTAAACCTTTTCTTGTAAATGTTAACAAGCGTTTAATTACTTCACCTTATTTCTCAACTCCTGGACACGGCAGCCATGGGACTGCCACCTCAAGCCGATTCATAGGCCACATACATATATCCCATACTAGTACCAGTATATTTGTAGTGGTAGTACACTTTAAACTACCTTACTGAGTGTAATTATTCCTTATGCTTAGTACGTAGACACCGGATGCGTGGTACGGATTTTTTCTGTACCAGTACAGAAACGTAATTGGCCAGTGGAGAATGTTTGTAGCTGTACCTACTTGTAACGGATATTCACCAACATGTACGGATACATATGCATGCACATAATGTATGTACATTATCTCGCATACACGCGTGTAAGTAAGTGTGTATTTATTGTAATGTTAATACGAGCGTATTTCAAATATATACACCGTTTATTTTGAAGATAAAAGTCCATAAACCTAACGCACTACTTATTTTTAATGTAAATAAGGGAATCAATATCAAGAGGCAAAAATATTAGTTACTAAATAGTTTTAATATTGAAATTAAAAAACCGCTATGACATGTTTGGAAAATCAACGTTAACGTGTGCACCGATCAATTAAAATTAGCTTTATCAACGAATAACCTACAAAAATGAGAAATAAACAACAT